AAAATATGTACATGACATGATGTAATATGGTATTAATAGTAAATTTTGTAATTATATCTTTCATGTTATGTTAAGAGACGTTTTTATAGTTTATTTTCCTTGCAAGTGATAAAAGGCAGAAACGGGACAGTTTCTGGAGTCATTTTCAAAACGATGTTTCTAACTCTATAAATGTCCATTTGAGACTCCAAAAACATGTATGTTTTCCTCTTTGAGTTTTCTAAATATGGCCGAAGGAATCACTCAATTTGGATATCTATGGCCTGAGTTATCAAGGTTTTAACGTCAAGGGGTCAATCTGGATTCCCTGTGTAATACTTCACTGTTTTCAGTAAAACGTCTATATCATATGATCTTGGAAAATTTTCATATTTTAACCTAGAAAACTAATTGAAATTATCTTTCTAATGCCATAAATTTCATAGAAAACGGAGTTGGGATGAATTTTATAAAAATTTTCAAACTTGCTGCCCCAAATGCCGAGGCCGTATATGTAATGTCTAATTTTATGTTGGCATGCACTTTTACCGGCTATCAAATTTTATAAGAATTGTTTTATCAAAATGAAAAAATAAGTTTCTAACATGTAATACTTCTATTTAAGAGTATTTACATGTACCAAAGGCAGAAGTTATTATGTTTAGTACGTGACCCTCGAAGTTTAATTTCGGGGCGTCACACACTTGGCCGTATAAAGCCCATATCTAGGTGTTCTTGCAACATAGCTCCATCGGGGCCATTCGGTATGGGGCTTTTGACACTGGTGCCGCTCCGAGAATTAGGTCTATGGTGAATTCCACTTGCCTATCGGTGGAATACCATATAGATCTTCTGGAAACACATCTACGAATTCCCGTACTATTGGTACGTCTTCAACCTTTATCGTCTCCTGTTTCCCTCCTGAGATGTTTCCTAAATATCCTTGACATGTTTCTTTTCTCAACGTCTTCTCAGCTTGTAAAGTCGATACCAGTCGAATAAGGGGTTTCGTCTTCATTCCAAGGAATGAAAATGGTTCCTTTCCTAGTTCCTGAAATGATACCTCCCCTTCCTTACATCGGATGGTGGCGTAATTACAACCCATCCAATCCATGCCTAGTATTACATCAAAATCCTTCATTTCTATCATGTATAGGTTTGCTTCCACTGGTTTTCCCTCAACTTCAATACTTATTGATTTGGCTATTCTATCAGTACTCAAAGGGTTGCCCGAAGGAATGCTAACCTCTAATGTACCTTCCGGCTTATCACAGGTAATACTAGATTTAGCCATAAAAGTTATCGATACAAAGGAGTGTGTGGCTCCTGAATCAAACAATACATAAGTAGGCGTATTGGCTATCAATAAAGTACATGCTATGACGTTCGAGTTTTCCTCTGCATCTTTCTGAGTCATTGCAAAAACTCGTGCTTTCCCTTTCTGGTTCTGGTCATTGTTATCATCCTTCTTTGGGGTAAATGTGGGATAATCCTTAAAAATATGCCCTGGCTTACCGCATCTGAAACAGACATTCTTCCTTGCAAACACACGCCACGATGCGTCTTTCCACACTTAGGACATGGCTCTATAAGTGGCACAATGCTCTTATTGATATTGGCTCCGCCATTAGCTTTCTTGTTCTGCCACTTGCCCTTTCCATTGTCCTGGCCATTCTATTTCCTTTTACCCATAATGCCATTGTCCGGTTGATTAAATAGTTGACTATATTGCTCGGCGCTAGTCTTCTGGTACCAGATAGCATGAGCTCTTTCTAGCATTTCACGGTATGAGGTGAAACGATGGGAGATAAGTATCATGCTTATATCTGGGTTCAACCCTTGTTCAAACCTCCTGACTTTCTTGTCCTCCGCATCCACCAGATGTGGAGCATACCTTGGAAGTTGGTCAAACTTCCTTCCATACTCAGTCTGGGACGTAGTCCTTTGCTTGAGTTGGAGATAATTTCTTTGGGATCCCTCAAAGACTACGGGAAGTACTTGTCCATTACTTCCTCCTTAAATCACTCCCAAGTCAATTCCGCTTGTTGCTCTGGGGTCCTCGTCCTTGACATCGAGTTCCACCAATGGCTTGCATCATCGGAGAACATAAACTTAGCACATTGGACCTTCTGGACATCCGTGCACCCTATTAATCGGAATATTCTCTCCAACTTGCAAAGCCACTCCTCGGCTACAAGTGGATCAGCTGCTCCATTGAAGGTAGGGGTCTTGTGTCTTCTAAATTGCTCGACCACTGAAGCATGGGTTGGAGGAGCATTAGGAGCTAGTAGTAGGGGTTGTGCCTGGTTAGGGTTTTG